TCAATTTTCTCATCTAACTTTCTGCAAGAAAACATATAAGTTGATTCTCTAATATGTCAGACGATTTCTTCATGTGATTACTTCTGTTGACTTGTAAGGATGTTATATTTTGATCTTTTATGCATGAAATGATTCATCAATCAATAACAAAAACAGTCAGTAGTTGCCTTGCCTTGTAAATGTAATAAAACCTGCTTTGGATAAAGGTGTGTCTGTGTCTGTGTACAGTGAAACCTGTTGTACCACGGTGCAGCGTGCCAGAGGCAGTCACAGTGGGAACATCAACAGAGCTGCGATGTCTGGAGAACGAGGGCTTCCCTGCTCCTCAGTACCGCTGGTTCCACAACAATGAGGAGCTTCCTCAGGACCCCAAAAACAGCCTGAAGTTTGTCAACTCTTCTTACAGCATCAACCCTGACACTGGAGGCCTGGTATGAAAAACAGGGACATAGTCTGTTTATGACTTTTGACTTATGACTATGATTTTAGTTTTCATCGTCTGTACAAACTATCAATGGAAAGTGTGGAAAAAACACATTATTATTATTATATTATTAGAAATTAGCTTATTCTCCGTGTAGTAGAATCCGTCTCAGTAAAATAGGAGGAAGTAGTGGGCTGACAGTTGTGTTTGTGGATGGAACTCTTTAGCATCAAGAAATTTCAATGACAGCTTATTTACTGTGAATGTGAACAGCTTAATCTAAATGAACCCTTAACCATCATTTGACTAAAAGCAGGATCAATCAATGCTTGTAAAGATAGCCAGTGAGGAAGCTAAACCAAAAGCTGGCATATAGTATTACAGGAGGATAATGTTGCATCCAAAGCCAGGGTAATGTGTTTAAGATTCTCTTCAAAACCATAATAAATGGGTAAAAGTCTTACATGTGGTTGAAATTCAACCATCTTACTTAACACATTTCATGTCCATATGATAAAATGTTACAGAACAGTAAAAGACAATTAGTGATGTAAGAAAGAATCCACAGACAGACATCTTTAAATATTTTGTTGACAATGCAGCTGTGTGTCAATGCACTGAAATATTTCTAAAAATATCTCCTCAGAAATTTCGAAGGGTGAGGAAGGAGGACGCAGGGGAGTACTACTGCCAGGCAAAGAATGATGCAGGACATGCACAGTGTGCCCCACTAATGATGGAAGTCTGTGAGTGACATGCGTACATGTGCACAGATCTGAAACAACAGCACTTTATACATACTCCTGACATTTATTATGTCTCATTCCTAAACATGAATTTGAAATACAAAAAAACACAAAACCACTCAACATTTTTGAAAAGTAAACAAGGCAAAATCCATTTTTGTAGTCAGTCCCCAAGCAACAGTATTCGCATGACTTAAACCACTTGAAGGCCAAGCTTATTGTGCACCCATCTTCCCATGTCAAAAATAACCTCCAGTTGAAAGCCAGCAGAGAGACTACTAATTCATCTAACCAGCATATCTTTCCAAGTAAGGTCTGCACAGTAAAGTCCCAGCCAGTCAGGCCAGTTTTGAACCCAGGATCAGAGAACAATGGAGCAACTGTCCAAAGTTTCAAGTTATTTATTGCAATATAGTTGAAATTTGTTGATTTGAAAAGTTGTTTTCTGTTGACAACCATATATTGAATGAAACTGCAATAAGTGTTTGTGGTAAACAGTATGTGTTACAGAAAGTCCTTTAACTGTTATAGTCAGAAATTCCTGCCATATAGTGTATAAAATGTTTTCCATCTATTTTCCATCGATCACAAGATATTAGAGTTTAGTACTTTATGTGATCAGATGAAAACAGGTTTATATTCATATTGATACAAACTTTTTAAGCTGTCAGCAGCAAATGTTTGATATCTTTACTTGATAACTGGCTGAAACTGGTCGATTATCAAATTATTCTGCTGGTCAGCTAAGCCATTAATCAAATGATGATTTCAGCACCATGTAAAATAAATATAAACAAAATATATAAGAACAGAAATCATAAAACTCAATTAATGTAAGTCTTAATTATGGGCACTGATATCTCTCAGACCACATACTTCTGTTAAAATATCATCTCTGTGTTCTGTTGCAGATGATGTCGACATACTTGGGATTTTCCTCAAGTGCTTTGGTGGAGTGGTTGTATTCTTCTGTTTGACTGCTTCCATTTGTAATTGCCTTAGACGTGGATGCTTCCACAAAAAAGGCCACAATGAAAATAAGTGAGTATAAACTACATCTCTGAAGAGGGAAAGAAGCAATACTTTGCTATTCTACACTTCATTGAGGGCTTTTTGTTTTTATTATCACTTTATTTATTTCAGCTACAACTGGCCAGCTCAGAGTGATGGCGTTGAATATGGAGATGCAGATGAGGTAAACAAAATCTGTGAAACATACACAGCATTTATTGTGTCTTACTATGAACAAAAAAAACTGTTAAAGGAGGAGTTCTGTGTATGCTAATTTTCTAATTCTTATTTCTCACAGGGCCATTTTCGCCACAAGTCTTCATTCGTCATTTGACAGCTGAGACAGTGGATAAGCTGGAACCAAGACAAAAATTAAATCTGTTGAGGTTAACTTGCAACAACGATGCTCCAGATGGTAAGGTTTGAGGTGTGAAATGGCACATTATTCTCTGATGCACATCAAAATCAAATCAACCAACTTGCCAAAGTAATTTTAATATAATTTTATGGTACTGTTTCATGGTTTTTATAACATAACAGCTTTTTAAATTCTCTTCTGTTAGTATTAATTTCCATTTGAAACTTTGGGTTTTTACACCGTACTTTGTTTTTTTGTTTTTTTTTAATCATACAATAAAACCATTTCAAAGCTGTGAAATTTGATATTTGGCCCACAGTGTCATCGCAAAAGCTGCTGGAAGCTATATTCCTCCTTCCTCCTTGTTTTTTGGACAAATCCTCTTTTATAATTCTTAAACTTTTTACTGTGTACACTGAAATTGTTTTACAGAACTCCTTTACATTGTCTTTGTTCATAAGATAAACATGTTCTTAGTTTGTTTCATGTGGGAAAGAGTAGAAACTTGTTTTTGTATATACTGTAGTTATACATGCAATAAGTAGCAGATTGCAAAAGGCTGATGAGCTCAGATTGATATGGCACAATTTATTAGCCTTTATTATATTTACAGACAATAACAAGTATGTACAAGTACAGAATTTGAATACCATATATCCCACTATGCTGCAAAATCAATATGTACTATAAAAGATGGTGAAGTATGATTTTTAGAGTGCTGTTTTCTGTGTACAAGTGACCTTCTGTACTTTACTAATTATTTTGTGAGTATTGGACATATTGTCCAGTTTTGACTCAGTATTTAATGTACATAAATATATACATTTTTTGAACTTTTAATTTTCATACATTGCACTCCATACCTTATTGTAAATATGGCAATAAAACTGTTTGTTGGAAATAAAGTTACAGTATTTACTGTTCAGTGTGTATCTGCAGTGTTGAGCCTGTCAGTTATAACAGTATATCATTTCAAACATTAGTGTCAATGATTTGTGTAACAACTCAGGAACTGTTCTAAAATGTCCACTGTTCATTTGATATTATTACTATATGTTCATGTTATTTTGTTACTATTAAATACAATTGACCTGTAAATGTTTTGGAGACTCAAATGTTTCTTGTATTGTGTCGTGGAAAGGTATTGTCAGATTTCATCTATGTAATTTAAATTTGATAAAGGATTGAACATAATTATGCAGAGGGAAGTGACAATAGAAAGAAAAAGTATTGACTGTATGTATGATACTGAAGGTTTAGTGCAGTGCAGGCAGTGCACAGATTTACCTGAACCTGTAATTGCTTGATATGCTAATGTAAAAATAAGTAATTAAAAATAAGTTACTTGTAAACTTAGAGTCTTAACTATGTCAATTTTAACACATTTGTGCCTACAGTATTTGCAACATAAAAGATTTTGTAATTAATGTGTCTTACTCAGCTGGTGGATGACTTCTGATGATAGAAATATTCAGATTCTTTACTCAAGTATAAGTATACTATATTTACACAATACCACAAGTTCTTCCTTCAATTTTACTTAAGAGTACATGCTGATGTGCAATCTGAAATATGCACATTACATGAGACATTAAATTATCTGGTTAATATTAGCATAACATTAAAACAGCAATAGCAAAACTATTTTATTTGTGGTGGGTTAGTTTATAACAATGAGATGCATTGAAGTAGAAGTAGAAAATAGAAAAATATAGAAATACTAAAATAAAAGATAACAGTGGTGACTATATTTACTAAAGTTCTCTACTTAAGTACAATTTTGAGGTACTTTTTTTCACTTCTTCTTCTTGCTACTTTATACTTCACTATATTTCAGAGGAAACTATTGTACTCCGCTACATTTTTGAAAGTTATTGTAAGTTTGTGTGATAGCATACAAAACCTGTGATGTGATATCATGCATTATTATAGATTAAACTCCCTATCAGTATTTAAGGAAGTCTACATCAGCTTCATTTCAGTCAGCTACAACTGCAAAATGCTACTTACTGATAATCAATCAGCAATTACAACCAAATGTTGTAAAAAATATAGTAATACTATAGTGACAAAGATCATTCTCCTGTATAATGAGTACATTTTACTATTAATACTACATTTATCGGTTATTATTATTATTATTATTAATAATCACAATAATTATACCAAAATAAAACTTTGAATGCAGGACTTTTACTTGCAATGGAGTATTTTTGAAGTACCTCTACTTTTACTGAAATACCTTAGTACTTCTTCCACCATTCATGTCTAAATTGTACTTAATTACGGCATTTGAGTAACTTTACTTAGGTACTTTCAATGACGGGTCTTTTTCAGTGACCAACAAATTCAGGCAAAAAAGTAGAAAGCAATGCAATTTGAAAATACCGTCACTTCCGGTTTGGAGCGCAGGGCTTCTCGATTTTATTTTGAAAAACTCCACCCGGAAGTAGTCGTGCGAATGCAGGTGGCGTACATCCTGGTCGTTTGACAACATTCGCCGTTTTCTCTTACAGAAAACAAACATGTAATATTTAGCCTCACTGCCAGGATTGTGTCCGTTTAAGATTGATTCGTTACCGTTGAAGAAAGTATATTGGTGACACTGATGTCAACAGAAGAAAAAAGAAAGGGCTAATTTGCTAATGGACGTATTATTGAGCGTTTTCCTTGTGCCATCGTTTTGCTATTTAGCTTCATCGGTGGAAATGAGTGTGGACATGTAGCTAATGTGGAGTTTTCTGTGACATATCTTCGTAACAGTGTGTTGTGTGTGCTCTGAGAGGGAACCGCAGGCCTTTCTTGTGTGTCTGTTCTCTACTTTGAAACATTAGCAGGGTGTTTTTTGAGTTAGTTTGCTAACAATTCAGAGAGATAAGAGTAACGTTACAATGAGTTTCTTTAGTTTTGGACAAAGTGCAGAAATTGATGTGGTCCTGAATGATGCTGAAACGAGGAAGAAGGCTGAACACAAGACTGAAGATGGAAAGAAAGACAAATACTTTCTTTTCTATGATGGCGAAACAGTCAGTGGAAAGGTGAATGTCACGCTGAAGAACCCCGGGAAGAGGCTGGAGCACCAAGGGATCAAAATTGAATTTGTTGGACAAATAGGTATGACAAAGAACCCTTATAACTCAGACATGTATATATATATATATATATATACTACACAGTGTAGCTTCTATTAATAACTTTTTAACATTTAACAATATCCAGTAGTGGTAGAAGTACTTAGGTGTCTCACTTTGTAGAAGTAGAAATACCACAATATTAGAGCTCCAACCATTAGTCATTAGTAATAATCATTAGGAATTTTAGGGATATTTTTATAATCAATTAATCGTTTTGACTAATTTTCTTAGAAAATATGTCAAAATTCTCTGATGTCAGCTCCTCAAATGTGAATAATTTCTGGTTTCTGTTGTCTTGTGTTAGTAAACACGATAACACGATTTGTAATAAACAAGAGGCACAAGCTGGGGTCAGGTCCTCTCCAGCATTATCAATATTTTCTTTGGACACTTGGCTTGATTAAGAGGAAAAATGCAACACCATTGCCACAATACTATAAATCAATAAAACAGTATTGATTGGTTTCTTTTCCTAAGTGTGCAAAAACCTAGGTTGGGACTTCAGTTTGAGCCTTGATATATTAGTAGAATATTATAATATTACAGAATAGTAGTGGAATTAGCTAGCTGTGGAAAATATAAAGTGATGAGTCCTGTCAACCAAGAGCTGATATTTATTTATTTTTTAACTTTACTACAGTTGTGGTTTCTGTTAGCATGAAGAAAAGTTCCTTTATTTAAGACAGTTTTTTTTAAAAACTTTACTATTAAGTTCTTCCTGTTAAGATGCATAGTAAAGTGAAGGCGAGAGCTGCTCCCTCTACTCTGCTAAAAAAAAATACCCTGGCCCCAGCAAACACACTATCCCTTTTCTAGATCCACGTCATAATTTTCATAGTTTTTCTGGAAACTTAGAAAATGTTGCTTTGTGTCAGTAAAATTAACTAACTATTAAAAGTATAAGATTGTCATAAACAAAGAGTTAATGTTGCAAATAATGAAAAGAAAAAAAATTCCTTACACATGACAAAGAATGAAAATGAATCCATTTTTATCTGTCCAGAATTTACTTGAAGAGGAGCAATCGTAAAATAAATGCGGAACTGATTCTGGATGCATATTATAAAATCTGTATATTCTGAATATGTATTATTACAAGGGTTAACATTATGCCAAAACTTTCTGGATTTGCCTTATTTTGCTTTTGTCTGAAATATCCTTCTTCTCTAGAGCTGTATTACGACAGAGGAAACCATCATGAGTTTGTTTCCCTGGTGAAAGATCTTGCGAGACCTGGTGAAATAACTCAGTCACAGACCTTCGACTTTGAGTTCACTCATGTTGAGAAACCTTATGAGTCCTACACAGGCCAGAATGTGAAGCTAAGGTAAGTTTGATGATTCACTCTATTTGTGGTGAAATGTGTAACTGTTAAGTGTCACTCTGTAACGTGCCTGTCATGTGGTAACACTCAAACTGAACATTTTTAGCACTTGTTTCATTTACCTTGCAGTTCCTTGCAGATATGCGGACACCACTGTTTACATTCTCTGTTTGTTCCATTTTCAGATATTTTCTTCGTGCTACAGTGATCAGAAGACTCAATGACATCAGTAAAGAGATGGACATTGTGGTCCACACATTGAGCACTTACCCTGAACTCAACTCCTCCATTAAAATGGAAGTTGGAATTGAGGATTGTCTCCACATCGAGTTTGAGTATAACAAATCCAAGTAAGACTTGTAGGGTTGCAACTAACCATTATTTTACATGATCAATGAATCTTTCTTTTTCGATCGACTGTAAAGGTTGGCAACTAATATTCTTTCTTTACGATACACCAACTGATTGTTCCAGCAATTAAGACATGACAACCTCATTATTTCATTCAGTAAACCCACAAGTAATAAACATTATTTTTATGGCACTTCTCAAAACTGAATTTTACAAAGTACCATTAAAGACAGAAAATCAATAAATCAAAGGATTAAAATGGTAACAAGTTCAGTTACAGAAATAAAGTACAATATCTAGCAAAGAACTCAATCAATTAAAATAAACACAACATCCTTTTGGAAATACTAGTGTTAGAATACTAGTGTAGTATAGCAGTTCTTGTGTGGGTTTGACATTAGTAACTGTACAGTACTAATTAAACAATTCATGAAGAGAGACTCAGACAGCATCAGTCATGGAGTTTAGGACTATAACTGACAGCAAAAATATCAAGCTCCCAGAGCCCAAGGTGGAAAGTGCATTGTTATGTCTGACCGCCAGGTCTAAAGATATTCAGTTTACCGTCATGAAAGACAAAGAAAACCAAGACATATTTACATTTAAGAAGCTCTAATTACTCTTCTTCTTTTTTTTTTTTTTGCCATTTTTGCTGTACTGTTGATTTAATTTATGAATCTGCCAGTGGCAGTGCAAAGCATCCAGACACTCAAACAATGTTATACTACTCTGATTGAAAAATATGAATATTCAGTAACAAAAATATTTGTTATTTACAGACCTCTGTCTCATTCTATGCTTGTGTCTTGATCTGTTTTTTGACAGGTACCATCTGAAAGATGTAATTGTGGGAAAAATCTATTTCCTGCTGGTGAGAATTAAGATTAAGCACATGGAGATTGACATAATCAAACGTGAGACAACAGGCACCGGCCCAAGTGTATACCATGAAAATGACACTATTGCTAAGTACGAGATCATGGACGGCGCTCCAGTCAGGGGTAAACAACACTTATTCATAAGTTATTTCAAGCATTAAAAACATCTTATTCCATTAAGATAGATATTATTTAACCTGTTACAATATATTTGATATTTCAGGGGAATCCATTCCCATCCGGTTATTTCTGGCTGGCTATGATCTGACTCCCACCATGCGAGACATCAACAAAAAGTTTTCTGTGCGCTACTACCTGAACCTGGTGCTGATCGATGAGGAGGAGAGACGCTACTTCAAACAGCAGGTAATAAGATAATGATGAAAGGAAACAGGCCACTCATGCTCAGTGAGTGTGATTACATGTATCATGTTGATCTGAATATTCACGACTTCTGGCAGTAATTTGAGTTTAGAAACATTCATGTAAATGTAGTATGCATCTGATTTTACTAACACTGTAAATACAGATACAAATTCATTTCTGCTGGGGAAACCTGATTACTTGTATAATACCTCTGGATGGGTTTCAAAAAGGTTTCCTGAATGTAGGCAAGGCAAATGCTTGATTTGAATGTGCTAGTTAAATTGCCAGCGACATTTCAGAGGTTAAAGTTTGATAAGCATCTGTTGGTGCACACGCTGTATCATTTCCTGTCATTACAAAATAGTGAAATGCAGTATGTAATTTTTTTCATATACTAACTGCAAATACGGCATTAATCCTAAAGCATTCAATTACCTTCTCAAATGTTATTATTTGCTGTTTTTTTTCTGTGTTGGATCTTCATAAATTAAATATCTTTGAGTCTTGGTCTATCCCATTGATTGATCAATGTAAATCTTATGTAGGTTAAGTGTGTTCTCCTCTGATCATAACAATATTAACAGAAAAAAATCAGCTTTGTATCAGACAGACAGTGTCACTTTTCCATGCACAATCTCATATTGGATGTATGGACCTCACTTTAAATACTGCATCTGTCCCTCCACAAATTCTGCTCTGATCAATACAGCAGCAGATCAGTCCAAAACGTTCAGTCAGTGATGAATGCTGACTGTCGCTTATTTTGGTTTGCAGCCACACACAGAAATGTGGTCTGATGTTAACAAGTTGATTTCTTATTACATCTATACTGATTTTATATATCTGTTTGCCTTCAAAGATAACCTATTTGGTTGGTATTAAAAAATAAATAAATCATTCTTTTTTTCTCTTTTTTTTTATTTTTTTTTTTTACATACATTCATAAAAACAAAACCTTTATGAATATTAATTTATACATACTAGGGCTGCAACTAAGAATTATTTTTATTATTGATTATACTGACAATTATTTTCCCAATTAATCAATTCGTGGTTTGGTCAATAAAATGCCAGAAAATTGCGAAACATGTGCATTCCAACTTCCTAAAACCCAATGTGACATCTGGTTTCATTCAATAAACAATCCAGACCCACATACACACACAACATGCTGAGTTTACTATCATAGAGAAATAAGGAAACCAGGAAATATTCAGAAGCCGACACCAGAAAGTTTTGATATATTTTCTTAAAAAATGACTCTAAATAATTATTAGATTATGAAAATAGGCTTAAATTATTTTCTATTTTTCTTTTCATCGATTCATCAGTTAACTGACTATTCGTTCCAGCGCTGATGAATAGTGTATTGGGACCTCCTCCAATTCAAAAACAACTAAAACTGTTTATTTTCCTCATATTCCTTAACATTTTATTTCTTATTTATCTATTAATTTTTTCTCTTTCTACCTATATTTTAATGTATCCAGTAGTATGATTTTTTTAAAGTGAGATCACTGATGAGCAAATGAAGGTTACTGACATGGGTTTCGGTTTTCATGTGTAAGGATTAATGTCATCCGTACACGCAGGCATAAAGCACAATGTCTAAAAACGTCCAAACACTTTCTTTTCTCATTCTATAGGAAATCACACTGTGGAGGAAAGGCGACGTGGTGAGGAAGAGCATGTCTCACCAGGCTGTCATTGCCTCTCAGAGGTTTGAGGGCTCGGCTGCCTCAGAGAGCGCACTGGAACAAGCTGCAAAGGAGGAGAGCGGGTAGAGCTGCTGCCCTCCAGTCTCCTCACACAAGACTCATCAGTGTCTGCGTTGGAGTGGTGGAGGCACCTGTCAACTGTACATCTGGTCAAGCAGCTGTTTTATTTGCTTGTAAAGGGAGGAAGAACACAGACCAACATACAGTAATGCAGTATGTGACCAATGAAAACAGTTTGCATGAGGCATTCAAAGTGGCTTCAGGCTGCTGGTCTTGACCTTCCTCATTAACACATTTTTTTTTCTTTATGGGAATCAAACTAATCACCTGTCACAATATACACTATGTAAAATCTCTCATGTGAAATTCTTGGATTTTTTCAAGCATTTTGTTTGTTGCATTCTCACGCTTTTTGGGGATAAATTGATTTCTAATCTCTTAATTAATGCAACTGAATTGTCATGAATTTTCAACAAAATGTATCTCCTACATTCCACGTTTAATGAACGCATTCCTAACATTGTTAGAAGGTCAAGAAATCCGAGATAACTTTGCACTGCTATATCTTGCTGAACACATTATTCTCTGTGTTTGTGTGCTTGCACAAAAAAATGGTGGAAGTGGAAACTGGAATCTTTTTTTTCCTCCTTTTTGACCTCTTTAAGTATTATCCCTCACATTTTTTTTTTTTATCTGTAAATAAGACCAGCTAAATCCTATTATTCTGTTCCCTGGTCCAGCTTGTGTACATTAATTATACAGTACACAGTGCCACAAAATGACCTTTCATGTTCATATGCTTTACCTCAGCATTCCAGTGGTGTTAGGAAAGAGTGTCAAAGTGTTTGTATTACGGTCTGACAGTATGAAGTCTTCTGTATCCTCTTTCTTAGAGACTTGACAGTTGTGCCTAAGTGTATCAAGCAAATGAAATCCTCCTGCCTCTAACATAATTTTAGTCTTTTAACCAGAGAAAAGTTACAGTAGAACTATCTATCTTTTGCAAAATGTTAATCAATTACTCCTTGTCCCCAAAAGTCAAATAAATTGATGCCAAATGTAAAAACCTCAGACTTTGTATTGGTTGAATGTAGGAATGGATGAGTTGACATGATAAATCCGAATAGGCAGGGTGGAAGAACTAATGAAAACCTCATGTGAAAAAGAAACTGCATATCAGACATCACTAAACCATACTAATGCTACTACATACAATACACTGGAGATGAGTTGTGTTGTCACACAACAATGTGACATCACTTTTCCTGATTTTTCGTCACACAGGATGTCAAAGAGGTCAAGTGGTTGGTCCCTGAATTGCTCATGCACCAGTTACAGAACTGCAAACTTACACTGAAAGAATTAACAGGGAAAATCTATCTGAAGCTATTTTTTATAAACAATCATTACAATTTTTATGAGCAAAAAAAAAATCAAATCAATTGCTCTGACTGATATCGTTTTTTTAATTTCCTAATTTCAAGTCAAATATCTTTTGGTTTTGGATTGTTTGAAGATGACAGCTTGGTCTTTTAGGAATTTGTGATTTTTTTTAAATTATATTTTAATAGGGAATACAGAAATGAAAATGACAACATGCAGCCAGTCCATCTCAAAACAGCATTCCCCATGCAAGCAGCAATCTAAAGTACAAGGACGGACCAAACACTGTTCAATAGAACAGTGAACAGTTTTGATGAAAACCTCTTACACTTATAACAACAAAAATGTAATTACAAATGTCACAAAACCGGAATTTATGTCTGACCTTTTAAAAACCATTTGGATCTGAAGATGACATCATTAATGGTCTAGACCAGAAGTTCCCAACCTCCAAGCCCAGTACCAGATTTCAGGGAAATTTCGATTTGCAAAAGGAAAGAAAAGCTGAATAATAATCATATAATTCAGTTGGCTATTACAGTCTTTACTACACATAACCGGATCACATCTTCCTGCCACGCCAAGAATAATATCCCCAGTTTTGATTAAAGTCAAGTCAAGTCTGTATCTGTATAAAAACAGTCAGCATGAAAACAAGGTTGGAAACCCCTGATTAAACAGTCATGTTTTGACAGACTATCAGTTGCTAATGCTAATCCTTACTGCCCATAATGGCCAAAGAATATGAGGCTATTTTAAAAGGACATCTTATACTGTGGATAGTGTGATCACATGATTTCCCTTTATTAACAGATACTAATACTTCCATACGCAGTGCTGAACAAATTTAAGAGTTCTGTATGACGTCAAACACCTTTTATTATCCCACTCGTGTGAACATCACTGGACATCCTGATGATAGAAAACTATGGGTTGCAGAATGTGAAATCATTTTTATCTGGTGAAGTCAGTGTTAAACTGGCGAGGGCACTGTGAAGAATAGTCTCTTGTGCTGCTCATACACAAGATATAAGCTGAATAACGGCAATAAACACGGGCCAAGGATATTGTGAGGGCAAAGGGCAACCTTAATCAACATTACATATTGCTGCCATTTTGTAACCAATGCAATGTCAAAATTTTATGGTAAAACTTTACTTACATTTACCTACCGCAAGAATAAAATGCAACTGTATGGGAGTCACAATTTGACAAAACCACATTTAATAATATTTATGAACAAGAAAAAAACACTACAGTATGTTATATTGATTACACTTTGCATAAACACTGGGCTGATGGTATACTATTGGTGGCAGTTTCATGACTTCACATGCTCACAGTGGCTCTTTGTCCTCCAAACTCAAAACAAAGTCAAACTCCTCTGCAGAGAGAAAAACAGATGGAGTGTTCAGAACTAGTCCATGACTGTAATAAAGTAAAATAATAATAATAATAATAATAATAATAATAATAATAATAATAATAATAATAATAATAATAGGATTGGACAGTGTGTTTCTTTACATACCAGTGGTGAGGGCTTGCACAGAGAGCCTGGCCCTTGTAAAAAGTGCCATGTCCTTCAGAGGCCCTCCCTTGGCCCGATGCTGCAGGTGATACTTTTTAAGCTCAGCCAGAGGAACAAAACGCTTCAACATTCTTTGATACTGGACATCTACCTGAAAGAGAAGGAGACAAGTTCAACCTTAATGCTTGTTTATTGCCAGTAACTGTACTTGATGGACATATTCATGTAATTGCATTAGCTTTTTTCTGTTACCATGCTCCACTTTGGGTTGTCTGCTTTGCTGGTTGCATCATAATGGACATCTTTCTTGTCAAACTGAGTGTGGTCCACATAAGCTTCCTTCACAATCTGGAAAAGGAAGTACAGCTGAATATCATGCCTGTCTGTAGCTTTGTTATAATCATTAAAATATTCCCAGCAGTGGAGAGAAAGTCACTTACTTTCATGATTCCTGCTATCCCCGGTTCCTTGCAGTTGCTGTGGTAAAAGAAAGCCAACTGCCCTTCTTTCATCTGCCTCATAAAATTGCGCGCCTGCAGATGATAGAAAATTTCGAGGGACATTCCCACAGAGGAAAGAGAAAAAATTGTACTCATTCTTTTCTCGAGAAAAGAATATGCCCAAGGCTTGGGAGAATAAGATGACGAAAAGCCTTTTCAGACTGGATTTGTGCTGGTCCCTTATTTCCAGTAAACATCTTTTCATTACAGCAGTCAGTGTTTTTGTGGCTCTACCTGATAATTGCGGACCCCATCCCAGCAGTCGGTCTGATTAGGCAAAGCCTTCAGATCCTCGATCCCAAACTGCCGAATGAACCACAAGCATCAGACGAGTGCAGCCCACGTGCAGTTTACAACAACAACAGACTGTGCTGATGAGGCTGTCACTGCTACATACCTTCATATCGACCCCATTCTCAAAGCGGCTCTCGGGCTCAGACTTCATCAGCCAGCGACATTGCTGTGGAGAACCAGGCGACTCTGAGCTCTCCTTATTTGCTCCAGTCTCAGCAGAAGCTGCAGCTTTCCTCTTTCCACCAACTCTTTCTTTTGCAGAAGATGCCGTTTCATCTTTGTCACCTTTGTCTGTGTTGTTGAGCCAAGAATCATCACTCGTTAGACAATAACTTACATGTATCAGTGAATTAGTTTTAATCTGTGATTTAATTTGCTTACCTGAACTTGCTCTTCTTCTTTTACCCACTCTGGCCTTTCTCTCTGGTGGCATCTCTCAAAGACTATAAAGAGAGATGTGACAGCGTTAGTGTTTTAGTTGAAATCCATAGTTTCCTCTTGTGTGGTAACCTAACACAGCCAGTCCAGATTAATTCAAATGACTGACAAATTATTTCAGCAAAACAAATCAGCATTTATCTATACACACACACACACACACACGTATATGTACAGACAGGCAGATAGAGAGAGAGAGAGCTATTAATGTCAGAGCCATGTCACCCATGAGACATGACTCAATGATACTATGATGAAACTAGTGTGTAAAACAATAATATAAGTAATATAACATTTTTCATGGTCCACATAACGTTTGGGTACATTTTCAGTGTGAGGTAACTTCTGAGGAGCTTTTTGTAATGAGCACAGTACTGAGCATCACTAGTGGGTCGCCATGCTAGTGATGCTCAGTACTGTGCTCAGTCATAATTCATTTCTGTCCAACCTAAAATTGGGCACACACATTATAGACATGTTGAAGGAGAGATGTAGCCAACGTTATGACTGTCTTACTGATTTAAATATATTACTAAAAAACAAACAAACATTTATTTAGTTGTGTCCTAACTGTGATAGGACTAGGAGTATTATCTTTACAATGATACAATGTACATACATGAGGTCTGAAATTATAAACAGTTTAAAAAGAATAGCATAAAAATACAGTTGGAAATTAACCAAGTCTTTAAATGACACTTATCTGCACCAGGTCAGAGAGTGCCAGTTCCTTGACAGAATATAACTGGTAACTAATGGTACAACTAGTGGAGCTACACAAGAAGGGACAACAGCTGCACTACTGAGCGGCCCATGGCTCACGTCTATCAAGCCACAGCACCTTAGCCTAGGCAGATACAGTGTAGATAAGGTGTAAGGCAGGATGAAGCTGCTGATTATTTACTCTTTGCTTGGATAAGTTTAGGAGCTAAAAGCAGCACTGTTGGCTAGAGCACAGTGTCAACTGTAGGGGCCCAGCACACTTCTGATTGCACAGCCTGATACCCACTGTGGGGCCCAGTGACAGCTCAAACATCATTTAACATGGATGCTGGGCTTACATAGGGAAGCTCTCATTTAACGTGTGTGTATTGAAAACTGTGAAGGACATCCTTCGACATGGAAATATATGCTGCACTTAAATTTTATTCTCCCAGTTTTTTGGTTTGCATCACAAGACATGGCAGAGATTAGCTAGAGCTTTAACAGCTCAACACAAGCGACACGTGACGTAACATAAACGTGATAGTAATACACGTTGTAAAGTAGCTGTAGATAATCCCTCCAAGCACTGACAAAACTTACCTTTAGCTGAGCAGGGATTCAGGTGAATAGTCAGCCATCAAAACGCGCCGAATTAAAATTTACAACACGTGACCTCAACGGTGCGCTTGGTTTACACACCAGCAACTCCCGTTGGCGATGGTATTCTCGGTTCGACGGGCGGTGGACGTCAACACGCATTTTAATCTAAAATGTGGTTTGATGTCGTTATCATAACGACGCTGAAGTTCGTGTCCGATTCGACAGTTAAGATAGACCTGGTCTTTTGTTGTCTATGTAGACAACAAACATGTGAAATCGCCTTTTAAGTTTATTTAAAAGTTCCATGCGACTGAAAGTGTGTTTTTAACAGTATCAATGTTAACTAGGATGTTTATCATCCGTTCACGGCAATAACTACAACAGTTAATGAAAAAACGGGAAAATTGTCGATCAGTATTGTCACTGTCAGTAAGTTTCCCTTAACTTTACCAGTTGTCCACATATTAATACTCTTTGCTGATAAAACCACATTTCCCAGCAGCAGCAGCGGCAGCGCAGTGACATAACACTGTGGAGGTAAACATGGCGGCTGTCGGACCTCTAGCAAGAGTCGCCAGACTGGGCTCCAGCATCTGCAGGAACCAGCGTGTATTATTGAACAGAAGCTCACAGAGAAGAGGGATAGCTTCATGTGTCGACCGTAAGTTCCAGAAAAATGCGAACTGTTAGTTAGTTTACATGACAACAGCTGTGTGTTGTAATGAAATAAAATGTGAGCGGCAGCGGGTGAACATAACGAACAAATGTAACATAACGTTTAGAGCTCTCCAGGACTCATCAATATTTGAGCGTTAATGAAACAAGAATTAGTAAACACACACATTAATTTCTTTAATATTAAATTTACCTAGCTGCTATTGGTTAGTTTTGGTCCTCCTTGTCCTCCAGTCATGAGGCAGAGGGAGCTATACACCCCTCTTAACACCGCCCCTCTTCTCAGGCTGGTAGTGTGAAGGACTCTTACCAAACCGGAATTTTTATCATTTAATACTTTAGTGTGTTTTTTTTTTCTTCTGATTCTGGAAGCTTTTCTCACAGTTTTCTACTTTTGTAGTAACGTCAAGTCAAGTTAGACAGCTCAATATCACAAATTTAACTTCAGTGGCTTTATCCTCTACCCCTCTATCCCTAGACCCCCGATTTGGATAGGAAAAAAGCTTCCCTAAAAAACCCTCTTCCAGGGAAAAAGGGGGGGAATCCCTCTTCCAGGGGGGTGTACAGACTAGACCAACATGGCAAGTTTAGTATATGGACCATCAGGATGAGGAAATTATAGATGGAACATATATGAAGAGTTAAACTTTCAGTTGGCTCCACCTCTAAAACATCTGGAATAAGGAAAAGAGAGCGGTTCCAGGATGGCACAGCAAGCCTGACTGAAAAAGAGAGGTCAGGTGGAAGAAAGAGGGGGGAGATAGGCACATAGGCTTAGACGCTCATGTGCATGAGTGACAACAAACAAACAGATACAGTGGTTTTCAGAAAGATTACAGTAATCTCGTTGGCAGGACAAACATGGACTATACTGTAAGTACTGGGTACTAGAGAACAGATTGATTGAGACTGAGTCTGACTCACCAGAATGGCCTGCAGTTAGCTGCAGCAGCTATGGCTGATCTCCTCTCTCACGAGCAAGAAGCTGAAAGAAAGACAGCTGTAGTAGTAGACAGGAGTAGTAGTTGTATAAGAGTGTGTCCTCCAGAATCCAAAATAATTTCAAAGGCATAATGTATCAATCACACCTGCATCTGCAACAAGGAGACTACTGCCATCCAAAAATATTTAAAAGCAATCTGACAACTGCAGTTCCATTTACCATCATGTTTGCATTCCTGAGACTGGATTTCAGAGCACCAGCACAATTGCATTTTCCTGCCTCTGTATGTACTTAGTGTTCTCTGCTCTTTGACAGCTGCTCATGGACTCACAGATGAACAGAAGGAGTTCCAGAAAGTGGCCTTTGACTTTGCAGCCAATGAAATGGCTCCACACATGGCAGAATGGGACCAGAAGGTATTTTGCAGCAGTTTACTGAGGAGATGTGAAAAGGCAACAGAGTTAGGGGTTCATAAAGTATAATTTTGTTAATTACTCACTTGGTTAGAGAGACTGTTGTTTGGCTAGATTATGCTTCTATAAGTACAATCATCTTTTGAAACATAGTAAGCAGCTGGACATAAGTACCTGTAGAAAATGTCTCCTGTCCAGCAGAGAGCACTGAAAAGGGTAAAATGTCCTGCTCACAAAGCAGATTTAAGGAAACCATATCAATGTCGTTTATGTTATGTTAAAGAAAAATCACTATTGATTGATATGTTGTCATCATATATCAGTTATCAACATCTACCTCATAAATCCAGCATTGGTTGGGCTATAATAACTAAAATAATTTAATTTTTCCAGGAAATCTTTCCAGTCGAGACAATGCGGAAAGCAGCCCAGCTGGGGTTTGGAGGGATCTATGTTCAGCCCGATTTTGGAGGATCAGGTCTTTCTAGGCTGGACACATCGGTCATCTTTGAGGCTCTGTCCACAGGATGTGTCAGCACCACAGCCTACATCAGTATCCACAAGTATGAATCCCTCATCCGGCGACAATGACATGCACCTGCAATTAAAATTTGAAGAAAAGTTCAATTATTTGGATGTCTACATGTTGAGAGTTTGGCACTCTTAGATGAAAACTGGCTTGAGGTTTCATGAAAGTCATGAAATGTCCCAAATAACAACATTTGCACTACAGTGATAGCTATGACAGATATTTGCTTTGCCTGACAATTTGCGGTGTGCTCCTTTTCTTTGCAGCATGTGTGGCTGGATGATCGACACTTTCGGCAATAATGAGCAGAGGGAGAAGTTCTGTCCTGATTTGTGTTCGATGGAAAAGTTTGCATCCTATTGTCTCACAGAACCAGGTCAATTTAATACAAGAATCCACACCAAAAAATATCACCAAAAATCCTGTTGTGTCAGTGTACTAATATTCAAAGGTGGTTCTCTGATCTTTGATTTTAGGCAGCGGCAGTGATGCTGCTTCACTTCTGACCTCTGCACAGCGGAAAGGTGACCACTACATCTTGAATGGCTCTAAGGTACAATCTTCAAGCATTGCTGAAGCTCAGATGTTGCTTGATGTCTATTTGACCAACCACTGGAAAACACAGAAACATGTCTTCATCTCTTGATGGTGACTTTTCAGGCCTTCATCAGTGGAGGAGGAGACACAGACGTCTATGTTGTGATGTGCAGAACAGGAGGTAAAGGGCCTAAAGGCATCTCGTGTTTGGTGGTGGAGAAGGGAACTCCAGGCCTCAGTTTCGGCAAAAAAGAGAAGAAGGTCAGAGTTGACAGATTCACAACATTCTTAAGAGAATATGCGTTTTTTGGCTTGTATGTACGTGCTTGTATTTTGCTCTTTATGTGTTTACAGGTAACCACTAGATGGCAGAATTAAGTCATAGTCACTCAGCTGTTATGCAATCTGTTCTTCAGGTGGGCTGGAACTCTCAGCCGACCAGGGCGGTGATATTTGAGGATTGTGAGGTTCCAGTGAGTAACCGGCTCGGTGAGGAAGGACAAGGCTTCGGCATCGCCATGAAAGGCCTGAATGGAGGCAGGATTAATATTGGTGAGGAGGAAAACACTATCCAAGCAGTCAGCCCTCTCTTAAACAGCACTCTCTGCTATCCAAACTTTGTCAGTTATCCCCATAGCTATAGAGCTGATGTAAATAATTACATCCAAATGTAGATTTTATAGACATTTAAATAAATTTTAGTGTAAAACAGTAGCAAGCCAGCAGCGGTGAATGAACCTGTTGTTTGTGTATAAAATCTGTGCATATTCTTAAAAAGAGCGGAGGTGATGAAAACATGAAGACTGGATTTGGTAGCAGACATTAAAATATAAATATGACTATGTACATTTTTGAAGAGGAAATAAAACATTCCTACCTTTGTAAATGAAAAATTGAATTAAAATGAAGCAAACCTCTTTAGTGCTTAGTCTGGTGTAACCAGGAGCTTATAGCTGATGGTAGAAAACTTTATATATATATATATATATATAGTACTGCTGTGTAACTGACATTAGAATCAGTTTGCTGACTGTATGACACTTCTCTAGTAGTGTTACTGTTAAACTCCACTACTGGACTACTCTTATATATTTACCATTATAACATCATTGTCACTTGTGGTCACAGTGTTCAGAAAAAGTTAGAAAAATACATCCTGGTGATCCTCTGCTCATTGTCAACCACAAGCAGCATCTCAGTCAGAAGTTTTCATATGAATGCTCTGCCAACAGCTTCCTGTTCTCTTGGGGCAGCACATGCCTGTGTACAGCTAGCGAGGGATCACCTGTTGGTACGGAAACAATTTGGAGAGACACTTTCCAACAACCAAGTAAGTAGCTCACATTCTTACAGTCTATTGACACGCAGATCCAGAGATCCAAAATTCAAAGTAGGCTATTTACCCTCAGGTCCTGTCGGTGATTCCTTATGTCATCTTTCCTTCTGTCTTTGTGTTGTTTGTAGTTTCTCCAGTTCAAACTGGCAGAAATGGCCACCAAGTTGGTTGCGTCTCGCCTTCTGGTGCGTGAAGCTGCGACGGCGTTGCAGGAGAACCGCTCTGATGCTGTTTCTCTCTGCTCCATGGCCAAGCTCTTTGCAACAGATGAGTGTTTTAATGTGAGTATTACTGTTTGGTAATAGTAGCATTAATTGACACTGAAGAACGTTTGATATACTAGATACTTTTTCTGTATGACATGTATCCATGCTCCGTGAACAGATCTGCAACCAGGCTCTTCAGATGCACGGTGGGTACGGTTACCTCAAAGACTACGCAGTGCAGCAGTTTGTCCGTGACATCAGAGTACATCAGATCTTAGAGGGTGAGCTTTTATCACAATGAGCCTCTATTTTTTTGGTTTTGATGTTCAGAATTTGATTTCCTTACATTTAAAAATCCAGACAATGATTTTTCTAATGATCACAGTTTGAGTGACTCCCTTTTTCTTTTTTTTTTATTTCTCCTAAAGGAACAAACGAGGTGATGAGGATGATCATTTCCCGAAATCTACTGACAGAGTCGTGATAAAACTCCTCCTCTGGACCTTTAAGTGACTTCAGTAGTGATCATATTATTATGGTCTTCATCTCTGGTTTGTTACTGTGTGACTGGCTTCCTGGATTTCCCTCTGCATTGTAGTTTTTTCAAAGGTGGCTAAAATCATTGGAGAATTTGGGGTAAACCAAACAGAGGATTTTCTGGTATAATATTTGGTTTTTTGTTTCATTTTCAGCTACACTGGTGGCAGGGCAGTAAGGATGACAATGTTGATTCATGAGTCTGACATCTAACTCTGATCCAGAGTGAAATATCTCAGTAACAACTGCCAATAAAATATCAATAGATTCATGGTTCATAGAGGATCAATCCAATTGACTTTTCATGGGTCAAAATTTCCACATGTCCAACACTTTTTTTTTTTCAAAGTAACGGATTAATTTCCAGCTGTACTTTAAGATCAAACCTATGATATCATGTAAAAATGCAGAACATTAGCATTTTACGCTAGCATGCTAACATTACCATACAGGTCAAGGCACAGCTAAATGTGAGTACAGTAGACAAAGCACATTTTATTTATGTACAGAATGCAACTGATGAACATTGACAATGTCTGACAATGTGAAGCTGAGCCTGAGATTACATATTATGGCCACTGTACATGGGGGAAAAAAAACTTTTGATTTTAGTTACACATAGCATTTATTGAACACCAACATCCAGCAGTGGTGAAAATCATAACGTTTTCCTTTGTTTCCGGTTATGCTGCTAGTGTGAATATAGAGGTTTAATCTAGTTACTGTATAAAAAGCTGCTCTTTATAACAGTTTTGCCGAGTTTGTGAAAAGAAGTTTGAATTCTTTTTCCAGTTGTGTAAAATGATTAAAAACTAACTTAAGTGCCATTACAATTATATGGTTGTTTGAAATCACATCTACTGTATATCACATGCAGTCTCAGTATCTCTCTCCCAAAAGTGGCTTTTTACATCCTATTTATGTTCTTGGTTACTGTGTTGTTACTGTATTTTACCCCATTGTGTATTCTGTAGTATGTAAACTGGCTGCAGAAAAACATCCTGTGTGTACTACCACAGATAGCATTATATGGGTTGTGAATTCACATGTCACTTTGCAATTTGCAGGTCACACTCCAAATAAAATGATCTCAACTTTCAAAAAAAGGAATCAGCTTTTTCATTGACATCTTGAATTTTCTGTCATTTTGTATGAATTCTGTTATGAGTGTGTTTATAAGTAAGTGATTTTTAATTGAGTTATGCTCAAACCAAACACCTCCAGAACATTTATTGAAAAAACTGTCAACAATCAGAACCGCTGTAAAAGTGCTACAGGTAACTTGTATACATCAGTAACTCACTGCCACGTTATCTCCAGGGTTCAGGATAATTACAAGAAAACAAATGTATGGGGCAATTATTGTTGCAAAACTATTTACAAACGTGAGTGGAGAATTGTGTAACTGTATCTCAAGCCATGTGTGTGTAATCAGATTTGTAAGTGTATTAAGATTTGTAAATGCTTATTACTTAAAATACTTTTGTACTTTAATTAAAATTAAGACTTTCAGATTAAGTTTTTCAGGAAATGAGATGTCCTGTTCGTGCACTGATCATCACCCCTCAAAGACTAAAGCAAAATGTCCTGTGTGAAGCATCGCGTTCCATGTTGGAGCGTCACTATGTAAGATCTATACTACAATTTTTACTACATGTAACTACATTATTTTACACTGTTTATATGAATAACATCCAAACATTCGTGGGACTTAAAAATATTTGTTTAACAATTAAGTCAATACCATAATTTCAGTAAAAATCAGTTGCTGAAAGAATTTGGGTTAGGGTTAGTTAGGTTAAACCCATTTACTTGTTTTCAGTCTCTTCACCCCTCCCGTCCCTTCCTCGCCTCTGCAGCTCGCATCTCGTGTGAGGGAGAAACAAGACGAGAGGAAATGAGGATGCTTAATAAGCGAATGGGATACACCATTATTTATACAAATCACTGACATTGATCCTTAAGTTGGAGCTAAAACAAACGCACACGTTGTTAGACTAATTTACTGCAACGTAGATTGGAAGATTAAACACCCAGAATATGATCAAAGCAGTTACTGAAACTATGATTAAATATAACATTTAATCTGCGGCACAAATAAACTGGAGGAAAAAAAATCATTCATCTAAATGTGAAGTGACTACAGCCTTTTTTTTAAGTAGACATGGAAAACGCAAAACAGGTAATGTTTCCAATATGTTACTTAGAAATGAAATGAGTAACTGTTGTTGATGCCGTTACACTGACTTCTTTGGTGACTGCTGTTCACTATGAGGACCTTCTGTCAGCTGTTCATTAACAAAATGATCAAGTGTGTTCTTATATAGGCTACAATACACAATGTAGAAAAGAACATGTCAGGTGGAAGTTTGTTCAATTAACCCATTAAGGCCTAAGGTGCCCTCTAAACAAGCCGACTAAAACCTGAGCATTGTCTGAAAACAACCTCCTGAAACCTGAGGGGTTTTCTGAAAAAGTTGACGATCACTAAAACCGTTATTTCTCGGCCTCTGAAGTAGATAGAATTATGAAATAAAAAAACATTTGAGAGCTCAAACATTTGGCTTTTATTGTAAGTCATTGCCTTTGGAAGCTGGATATGGCTGAATAAACAAGAACATTTGTAAACATTTTTAGTTCAGTTCAATTTCTTTAATGTTTATTGTTTGTTTTGTTTTTTTAATGCTGATGAACATTATAGTAAAGGCAATGATTTACAATAAAATTCAAATATATACAGTCATTTAAACTCGAGGCTTCGAAATGGCAGCTCACAAACCCAATGGGTGATGTCATGGTGGGTTGCTAGGTTGGATCTCTCCACACATTTGCAGATCTGCCACAGCAGAAGTGTAGCAAAAGTCACGTGTGAAAAGACAACTGAGAGGTCCACATGAGTTCTAACTGATGATTTGTCTGTATTTCCTGGTGTTGGAGCAAAAATACTTAGACTTAAGCCATTAATATCTATGTACACATTTACAAATTTGTCTACATATTTACAATTCTCAATACCCTTGCAAATCTGAATACAGATTTGGGGTTTTTTTTTTTTTTTTTTTTTTTTACAAATTTACATTAACAAATCTGATCCCGCATTAAGACACAGTTACACAACTCTCTACGCACATTTGTAAGTAGTTTTGCTACAATAATGGCCCCATACAAATGAGCATCAGCAGGAAGACTGGTCAAATATTTTTAACCGTGCGTCTCAACTAATGACCTCATATGTTTACAGCAATTATATCGAGTTAAACCAAGCACCTTGGAACAAAATAGTCAGAACTCATCAACTTCAACATTGCTATACTCACTATTTTGGTTACATTCCATCTACCATAACAGGCAAAAAACTCAGACAGTATGTTCTCTCAGTAGACATCAGTCATGAAATCATATTGACATTGTTACAGTAGGCTAAATAAACAACCCTTCAGTGAAAACAGGTAAATGTGGGTCTAAGAAAGCAAGAAATTCGAAAAAGAGAACCATTTGTAATACCTGAATTGTGGTTTTGCTGGGTTTTTGCTTTGAACTAGTGCAGTTAGCCTGAGAAAAGTAACTCAAAGTGATCAATACATGGCCAGGTACAATGTAATAGAAATGAAATTGTAAAAAAAAAGTCATATTTAGTCTTTTCATACATTATACAAATGTAGCCAAAACATTATATTTTGCAAGAACTGCAAAACTCTATGTGAACTCAACTACTCATTATGGTTTACGATATCCTGACAAATTTCGTTAAATTAACACAATTCTTGAAATAATTGGCAATTTAATGCTATTGGAGACCATTTTAAAGATCTCTAAGGGAGTAAATAAAAATATATTTGTCCATAGTGAGCCAGAATGCAACATACGAAAACAAACTGAAATGAACAACGATGCACTCACTTTATTAACAAACTGAAGGGAGAGGTTGTGCAAATGATGCACAAACCACCTGTGAGACAGTTTCGCCTTTCACAACCTCTCAGGTCTTCATGGAGAAAGTGCTTTCCATTTCAAGGCATACTTTCTCTCCAGCCACAACCGCCATCCTCTTATTTCCCCATCAGAGATGCTTTTGCCGGCTACACCAGCGAGCCAGCTTGGCTTTGAGCAGGCACCATGACAGCAACAGCTCCCATGCGTGTCAGAGTGGAGGAGCTGATTTGTGGGGACACAGTGAGTGGTGGTGGCACCTGAGGCTGCGCCCCCTCAGTCCTTTTGGGGATGGCGACTACAGGACTCCTGAAGACCTGCGGAGGGGCCCCGTTTGCATTGGGAGGCCGCTTGTGTTTACGTGATGGAGTGCCTCCAATGTTGTAACCAGGAAGTCCCTGTAAGGTGTTGGCTTCTCCAGGACGCAGCTGGTAGGCGTTAATCACTGAGCCTGTGTCTGAGGCTGAGGTGGGGGAGTAGGGGTAGTGGAAGTTGGGCTGATGTGGGTCTCGCGGTCGAGGACTGGTGGCTATGGAGGACAGCGTGCCGTTCTTGGACACGATGTCGGAGCCGGTATTACTCTTTGCCCATGACACTCGCTTTGGTGCCTGAGCATCCTCCCTGTGGCAGAGAGAGAGAGGAGCAGAGAAAGCAAAAGCTCATCATTTATTCAAGTGACTAAAATGAAGAATGACACAAAAAGCAGCTCAGTGAAATCTTTTCTTGCTTCCATAAAGTGAAAATACACATTTTGCTCTTAAGTTGGGCAACAAATTTGACACACATTCAGCTTCAGTGTTTTTTACTCATATTGAGTTTCACAGTAAAGCGCAAACAAAGCCAATAAAACAAACAAAGTATTCAGATAGTTTAAACAAGTGGTGATACCACAATGTAAAAACAATCTACTTATAAATACTTATAAAATATTTATTAAAAGTAAAAGTACTAATTAGAAGAATGTTTCAGGGTGTAATAATATTATACACCTATATTATGGAAATATTACTGTCACTGAAGAATGACCACGTAATCCCAATTTGAATGTTTTATCTGGTCATGGTGGAGCAACTTGCACAAGCATTGTAAATTGTGGGTTCATTTAAACTATAACACAAAATTTTATTTTACTACTATCATATGTTTGTTATGTAAAATCAGAATCTAAAGTTACTGAGAATCAGTACAGTTGTGTACAAATTAAAAGTATTTCCTTCTGAAATGTAGGGGATTACAAATATCAAGTACATTTGAATTCAGAAATTGTTCAGCATTGGGTGCATTGCATTTCTCTTTATAAAATAATATTCTAATTATCAAATGCAGGCTTAGGTAAAAGAATCTCAAAACTGCACTTGAATCCATACTTGAGTGAACTGACTTTGTTCTTTTCACCACTGCTTATATAAATAACTTGTAATAGCTGTCATGGTCTGGATGCAGGTAATAACTGCAAAGCCTGATTACACACACACACACACACACACACACACACACACACACACACACACACACACACACACACTGGCCACTAGATACACCTGTCCAGTCTAATGCAATCCAATAAAACTGTTCTGCCATACATTTTTAGGATTTCTACAATATGACACTGTCACAGAGGTGTTCATTCAGTTACATGTTTTTGTAATGAGGTCGTAGTTAGTGGGGGTGTTATAATGGATTGCATTATATTCAGAAGTGTGTCTAATATTCTGCTCCCCTCATGTAGGAGAAATTTAGAGACATCTCTCAATATAATATAGTCCAGAAACAGACCATCTTCAACTATCACCTCAATAATAAACCTCTAACTGATTCACATTTCTGACACTGTCATCAAAAACTGAATATTATAAACTTCATAAAGGTAGACTTCATGGCAGAGCTGTTGCATTGAATTGTATTAAACTGTACAGGTGTATCTAATGAAGTGGTCACTAAGTGCACAGTGAAACTCTCACTTGATCTCATTGGCTATCTCCTCCTCAGTGTCTCGTCTCCTTCTCAGGATGAATATGAGGAATAACACCATGGCCATAAGTCCCACTACTGACCCCAGCGTAGCTGCTGCAATCATGCCTGCATTGGAAGCTGGGAAACAGATCACAGTCAGTATTTACACTCAATGAGAGTCACGGCTGAGTTATCTAAACACACACTGCTGAATACACTCGTGTGTTGGCAGAGTAAAAATAGAGTTTTGAGCGTGTACGCACAGGTGATAACCTCCAGGTTAATGGAGCAGCTGTCGGAGCCGGCGGTGTTGCTGGCTCGGCAGACGTACTTCCCCGACATGCTTTTAGTGAGGTTGCTCAGCCTGAGGGTGCCGTGTCTCTCATCTGCAAGACAACCACACAGTTACACACTCTGTACAATCATATATTTATGGGATGTGTAAGTGGGCTCCTTGGAACTAGCCAAGGAAACTACATAAGTTGACATTAAAGAACTAAACCTCAAAACTACACGTGAGGGAACTAATAACTAACACAAATTCACTGTACATAAGATAATCCTGCAATAGACTGTATGTACATAAAAATACCTTTCAGATAAAATAAAGCAATTCCAGTTAATTTAGTTTGTAATTTTAGAGGCATGATTTCCTTTGTTTACACAGATATCATTATGCATTGTGTATCACGATACTACTATTGTGTGCAACAAATCATAGCAGTGTTGCATCATTAGTAAATGATTCTAACCCTTGATGCAAAATTTAATCCACTATTGGCCCATTTCCAGTGCCTACTGTATATAGCCTGGCACTGGTGCAGTGCCACAGCAGACAGCTCTGCAGATGATTCTGCTGTTGGTCAGCAATTTTTGTTTTAATATTTTCATGACACAGCAGTAAGTGTGTGTGTATGTGTGCCTGTCTTTCACAACTGGATATTTCCATTCAACACAATCTGTTCTTGGCACATCTGGCTTTAAAATGCTGTGTTGTTGCAAACACAGGCTGAAGAAAAATAAACAAGCTTTATGTGGGACTTATCACAACAAATCCTCTCAAATCCAATCTTAGACGTCACATTGCAGCATGTCTTCATCTGATGTGTTTTTGCTTTCGTGGGGACGTAAGGAAATGAGTGTGGGTGTGTGTCTGTTTTGTGGAATCAACATCGTGAAGTGTTGTTCAGATGGGTGGGTGTGTCACACTCTGCACCGCATAAATCCCCACAGAGAGAAAAGTAATGCAACTGAGGGACTCATCCAAATCATCCCTGATGAAAAGCCAAGGTTCGCATTGCGCCAGCGAGCAACATATTAATGCAAGAGACCAGAAAATCCGTAACAATCATTGTATCACAGCTGTCTTCATCCCAAAGTTTGGGAGAGTGAAGGGTGGCCTGAGATTTGTTTTGTGTGCACCATCTGCTGCTGCACCATCAGGAGCGAGGTTAATGTAAGTAGGTGCACACAAACCACAGACAACAACAAAACTACAGTAAATCTGTTTTAGTTATTAAACTAAAACAAGTGGAACTGAACGAAAAATTCAGAAACTGTCTTGTAACCTGCTGTTGACATGAATTATCTGTCCATGTGAGTACATGTGAACACACAAGAAGTAAGAGTAGCTAGTATTTATTAACAGCTTGAATATTTTATTGTTAACCTTTGACCAGATATTAAAATCATGTCTCTGATATCAAACGAAAGCAGCTTCCAAATAAAACCATAGCAGACAAGTGCGACATGCACCTGTCCCTCTCCGATTATTTAATCCCTGGTCTTGAAAACCAGCTGTGAAGAACCAGACCCAATTGTGACAGATTAGCAGAACATCAGCTGACTCTGAGCTTGGAGCAGGTTCAAGCCCGCACAGTGATCACATTCCAGCGGCGGCAGAGCTGGAGGGGATCTGACATTACAGTAGGTGCTGCTTCATATCAAGACTGGAGCATTACTCATATTACGCTGCCATCACTGCAAGGTCAATGAGCAGCATTTGTTAAAGCCCTGACACATGACATATGATTAATGGAAATCAGCAGCTTTTCTATATGGAGCTCATGGTATAGTCTGCTACCTCACATGACAGTCTTCAAAATGAATGTAAAAAAAAAAAAAAAAACCCACACACATTCTTGTGTCAAGAACATGTTGTACCAGTTACTGTAATTTAATCATTAATATTAATTTCCATATTGCAGGACTAATGAAGAATAAAAAACTACATTTCTACTAAAATCTGCATTCTGGTTAATGCAACTGGGTATTAAAGAAAACAAGTGAAACAGGACACGTCAGTCTACTCATTCACTGTTCTGTTTAGGTATTCATTCATTTCCTCCATTTACATGCTGTTGATTGTAAACTAATGTTGACACCAAAATAGATGCCTTCAAATTACTCGTTTTGTCCGAAACATAAGGAGACGCTTATTCTAATTAAAAATCAACTAATCATTTCAGCCCTTTGGGAAATAAATAAATAGTGATGATGTGTTTTGGTTGAAAAACACAAATGGGCCTTGAAGACTTAGAACATACAGGCTTACTGTGAGGCTACACATAGCACAAATAGAAAAAGATGAATGAATGCAATAGGACGACAGCTAAATCTAACACAACACACTTGTTATAAAGATTTAAAGGACAAATTCAACCCCACTCTCACACAAATATTAATATATGCAAGAAAAACATCACAAAATAAAACAGCTGTTCATTACTCCATATCATTATAGTAAAGATAAAATACCACCTGCTATTCCTAGAGTCATAGAGTTTAACATGCTCGTTTTTTTTTATGATTTAGTCTATGAATGTGAAAGGAGAAAGTGAATCTTTAAGGTTGAATGGGATTATCCTCTGGCTTGACACCTATGCTAAGCTCCCCTCTGCCTTTTTTTTTAACAGTAGATTGTAATCATTTCTGAGCCACAATCCTATAATCATATACGTATAAATTGGGTAGATTTTTTTGCCTTTAAAACTTTTCTACAGCTTATGTCAGTGGTTGGAGAAGTTGACTCCCGAAACCGTGACTCCTCAGGAGGTCACAGTTTGCAGGTGAGGGTGAGATGGAGTTGGGAAAATAAGTGGAAAATGTATGAGTGAAAAACCCTTACCCATGAACCCAAGCACAAGCATGGGGTGGGGGCAGGCTCTCCATTCTGTTTTTGTTTTTTTTTGGCAGAAAGAAAGATGGGAGAGAAACGGTGAGCATGAATGAGAGGTAGGGAAGGAGGGGTATAGACTGATGGGGAGAGGGTGGAAGAGTGAGATGCGCCGCACTCTCAGTCCCAAATCCAACTTATGCCTCTTAGAGGGGTTGATAAAGTAATGACATGGGGCTTATTAGATTAGGCACCAAGGTCAACAGGAAATGAGGAGTGCCGAGAGAGGATCAGAAGAGGGAGAAAACAGAAAGAGAGAGAGATTGCTGAAAGAGATAAGCACTGATGGCAGAGTAAAGTTCATGTGTCACAGAGAAAGCAAACATCAGGGCAGATAAAAACATGAGCACAGGGTTTGAATTCGGGTGTCAATGGCATGTAAGAGAGCACGGACACATACAAAACCCCAGGTCAATGCACAATCAGAGGGAGTAGTTTTCATTTTATGAGTCTGAGGACTTTTCTGCTCTAAAGAGATGGAGGCCAGAGATCAAAGCAGTTAAGTCAATACTCAATCAATCAGCCTAAGTCCTGTTGTTCAGAAACAGATGGTGTTTCCCCTGCAGCATCATCTGGAAACAAACATCTATAAAATAATGCAACAATAGAAGCATATGCACAACTCTTTTTCTTTATTGCATGGGGCAGCACAGTGAGAGGAGTATGCTGTGTGCGTCAATCTGTAAAGAGGATTTCATGCTACATGTTATGGCTTGATGGAGGATCTTCTTCTGAGGTGCATTTGGAACATCTATTAGCAAAGTAAAGCCCGAAGGCTGCATCTGGGACTTATGATGACGTACGTGACCTCAGGACATGAGCTCAGCTCCATCTGCATGTAAGGTGTTAGGATCAGCAGCAAGGGGCACAACATTTACACCTAGACATAAACAGGCTTTAAAGATAATTTCTCTACTACTATTGCTTATTGTCTTGCAATATGTAATATATATACACACATATACATATATATATATATACACACAGTATATATATATATATACAGTATATATATATACACACACACACATGTATATATATATATATATATTACATATTGTAAAATAATATCACGTGGTGCCTGCATGTGATCTGGTTTCAGGAGTGGTGGGAGTAAAATCACCATAACTCACCCAAAATAAGTAAAGACGTAAAAAAACAACTAATAACTAATTCTGCAAAATTTGTTTTCAATCTAGAAATGAAATTGCTTAAAGTGCCATTATAACAGTAGATAAAACAACAACAAAGAAAAGATATGCCGTATAACTTTTCATTGTTAATGCACTAACCCTACTTGAAATCATGTTTCTATAATTTAAGATATATTTTGGGAAAACATCAAACAAAAATATAGATTCCATTATTATTATTATTTTTGAATCTGAGAAGCATATAGAGGAGGTAAAAGTACTTTTCCCAGCATTTCTACAGTCTCTCAGGTTGCATACAACCCCAAAAACCTACACCTATAAGATAAGGGAACCTGTGTGGAACCTGAGAGGCAAAAACCCAGGGCAAAAAATATGGAAACGACTTTCTACACCACTGCTTGCTGTGCCTCAGTTGCTGCTAGCCAATCAACATTTTTATCAACTCCTCTTTTCTCTTACCTGGATTCTGACCCCTGGACAGTCAGAGTACAAGACGCAGAGAATTTTTTTTAGTGAGTAAATAAAAATTGAAACTGGAAAAATCGGGGGTGCACGTTTCCCTAATCTCCAGTGGAAACAACTTCCTTGGTTCTTGTGTACAGTATGATACCTGTTTCTGGGAAATGAATGTGAATCATATCTCCTAAGAGAAACATATTCCCTTTTACTCCACAGAACATACTGTTATACTATCATTTTTTTGCAGGGGCTATTTTCTTAATAAAAAATACTAAGACAATGTGTTTTTTGATGAACTGACCATTCAAGTATAAGAGTTACATCCTCATGTGCTCAGAGAATACTCACTCTGCATTGGTGAGAAGAAGACCTCAGACATGGGTGCAGCCTTGGTCCATTTGTACTGAGGGACTGGTTTTCCATGACTGGACTTACAGCTCAGAGTCACGTTGCCCTTCATCACAGGGTTTCCTGTCATGGTGCATACTGGGGGAGAGGGAGGGACTGGGGAGACAGACAGACAGAGACTGAGTATTATTAAGTTAAAACACATGTAAGATAAGAATACAGGATCAATGACCCCTTATTGAACTTGTACGTTAGTTTTAATCCACTGCCAGCGACATGGAGATTTCTCAGGCCAGTAGCCATATTGCAAAAAAGTTCCATCTGCTGCTGGAGGATGACATAATGACCTCAGAGTCCAGTGAATCCCTAAACAACAGATGAGTTTTATTTGTGCAGTGCTTACTTACATAAATATATGATTTTTAACTGACTGGTCCAATCCAAAAATCCTTCAAAATATGTTCAGCATTTACTCTGCCTGGATGTTCCAAATCCAAGGAAACGTGTGAGCTGCAGACTGTTCTGATTAAATCCGACCTTTGAAATACCCCTGACGCTGTGGCGCTTTACCTTTGACATTAAGGTGCACCTCTCCAGTAAGGCCAGTCTCTCCAGGGATGATGACGTTGCAGATGTAGCGTCCAGAGTCAGACTCCTGGGTGTTGTTGATATAGATGGAGAGGTTGGCTGAGGGCATGGCCACGCTGAAGCCCACTCTTTTGGTGTATTCACGCTGGCCGTGCCCAACCTCACCTGAGCTAAAGTTTATCACCTGCACAGAGAAAACATGTTCATGAAAACACTTTATGCTTGTATAGTTAACTGCACTGCCAATTAGTAATAATTAAGGTCAATACTTCTGTACTGGCAAAATCCTTGTTAGAAAATACAACAAATCTCGAAATGAAGGCATTACTTCATTCAAAAAAATATATATATATTTCTAACTTTATTTGCGGGCAAATTAGGATATGCAGATTAACAATATAACAGAAATCAGTGTCTTTCATAAAGATTATTCTGACATGTACAGATGGTGGATGTTGAATTTGAGGCTGATTTTCTATTTGAGATAAGCTCACAGCCATCAGACACTGACAGTGTTTAGATTATATTAATCATGCAAAGACCCTACACACTCTGACACACACACACACACACACACACACACACACACACACTCTGACACACACACACACACACACACACTCTGACACACACACACACACAGTGTATGTGCAGATATGCACAGTGTTACCCAGCGGTTCGTGACCCATATAGAAGGTGCAATAAAAAGTGGAGATAAAATGTCATTAGTGGCATCCTTTCATTAACACTCATCCATCCTTCCTTCCGCTGTATATCAGACATCAGCAGTGGTGTTGGCAATAATCCTAATCTCTACAGATCATCTTTTTTTCACCTTACATGTCACTAGATGGGTTTCTCAGGATAGAACAGTGTCATGCAATACAAAAAAAACCCTTTTCCTCTCACGTTACACTCAGAAATGAGAAAGGCCTACAACATAAAAAAAGACTTTCCTGGAAGTAATTTTCATTCGGTTTTCTATTTTTTGTATCTGCATTGTCACTATCAAGTTATCTACCCATCTATAAAATGGCAGAAAACGTTGAAAAATGCTGATCAGTTCCCTGAAGCCCCCGTTGATGTCTTCACATTGCTAGAGAAACAACTTAAAACAAATTAACTGTCAAAATAGTTGCCTGTTCAATGTTCTAGCTCTAATATTTTGGTTTGTAGATGTAACACTTGCAACACAGCAGCACGTGGATCAGCAAACACACTGTACTTTATTTGAATCCCTTTAAAGAGGCTCTCCTTCCTCTACTCCACTAGAGGTCAGAGCAGGGTTATCTATGTAACAGATTTATGTGTTGACCCTCTCACCTGTGTGGACTTATTTCCCATGAAGTTCCAAACCACAGAGTTTCTGGAAATGTCTGAGCTGGGGCTGTACCAGGCATGTAACACCACCATCTGGCCTTTCACCGCCTCCATCTCTCCTCTGGGGATCTCCACCTTCTGGGTGTCACCTGGAACAGCAACACAGACCGGGATGGAAACAGTTAATTACATCTGAAATGTAGCAGAGACACAGCTGTTTTCATTGTCATTATGATTTTGGGTGAGCCAATTCAATTTCAGTATTTACCCCGTATTATGATATGGTTTTATCAATAAAAGGGTTGTTTGTGTTATATGATATTTATAGTTTGTTTTACCTCATTTCACTGTAGCCCCCATGTTGGACAGAATCTGTGTACTTTGTAGGGCTACACCTATTTATTTTTATTATTTATTAATCCACTTTATATTATATTCTTGATTAAAATGGTTTTAAAAAAAAATGATGTAGAACAGAGCAAGGTTTCTCACATTGGAAAAGCTGACATAAAGTGGTGTCTTTTCTGGTATTTGTTTTGCTCGGATATTAATTTATTTATCATTTGATTGCTTCAGCTCTTTAATTGTGTTTTTAACTTCTTGTCTTTTTTTGTTTTGTGAATCTTTGGAAAAAGTGTTTAATTACTATGTTCTATATAAACAGGTTTTATAAATTTAATCATAATGAGTCTTTTAAAAATAAGCTGACTGGAAGAACTGCTCAGGATGAAGCAGTATGAAAAGTGAAAAACCCAGGAACATGTGCGAAAGTTGTGCAATGTGAAAAGTTTCGTAAATGTGACATCAGCTAAACTGATCTGTTAACTCCTTGATAATCACCAAGGACCATTCAGTCTCAAACACGTTGAGACTTCCCCTTGACATCTTGACAAGTGTGTGCTCTCATTTTTCCTTCTTCTCATCCAGGTACTGACTCTAACATCCAAATGTATCACATCATATGGGAGCAGGAGAAAACCGAAAGACTAAAAGCAGACAAGCAGAGACTGTGCTTTAATTATGGTTAAGTTGAATAACACAGAAAAAAAAACCCATCTCTGCTGCATTTAAATTAGATGAAGAATCACACTATAAAGTGCACTTGAGCTACAAACCATGCATCTCCAAAATGTCTCCAAATGTCTAAAGTTTTAAATAGTTCATTTCGCTGGAGAAGAAGTAGACAAGACTTTTCTTAGCTCATAAAGGAACATGTAACCCTTCTATTTATGAGAAACATAAAAAAAAATAAAAATAAAAAAAAAAATAAAACATCACCAAATTGTTAAATACATGGTTTTCACTGGACAGCAATGATGTACAGATCTCATTAACATGCAGCACTGTATCTAATAAGTCTTAAATGATGCCTTTATATTGGGAGTCACCATTCAATGTTCCTGTATTCCTTTTCCATGTGAATGTCCAGGCAAATAAGAGCAAAGCCCAAAACGTACAGCAGGCATATCTAATTTTTCTAAGTGCATCTAAGAAAAAGCTTAACTTAAGAAAAGCAAAAAGCAAATACGCTGCGAGGATTATCTGAATAACGTCAATTTCAAATCACTCAGTTCCAGCACTTCGATAACATGAAGATAGACTCATGAAACAAATGTTCAGGAAATACAAAGCAACTGTGGCGCCCTGTCCCCTCATTTCCTGTCATTGCTCTACTGTTGACTTACTAACAAAAAAAGCCCAAAAGTGTGTATAAAGGAAAGCTTAAATACATATTCATGCAGAAAACAAGCAACAGAAAGTTGTTAAAAGAGAAGGAACAGTGATCATGATGATGATGTGAAGAAAGCATGGTCATAGGAACCAATGACAAAGACAGGGATGATAAAAAAAAGAAGAGAGGAGGAGGATGTCCAACTCACATGGTGCCCAGTCACCTGAACCGGACAGCTGAAGCTGGATCAACTGATCCCAGCAGCCGGTCTCTGTCTGTGTCTCCAGTTTGAAAATTCGTTAAAAAAAAAAAAAAAAAAATTTAAAAGAAAAAAAAAAAAAAAAAAAAAAAAAAAAAAAAAATAAATTATATAATATATATGTATATATATATATATATATATATATATTCTTGCGACTAAATCCTTTGACAACAGAAAACACTGAATCTGTGAAAAATATCCCTCATACACTCAACTGGATAAACAGGGTAGATAGTTGGATAGCGAGGAATACAGAGAGAGAGGGAGAGAGGGAGAGGGAGAGGGAGAGAGAGACAGAGAGAGAGAGAGGGAGTGTGATGATCCATAGACAGGCCGCTGAGATCTCCACATCTGTTCAGCCAGACACGCCTTCCTTCTTTTCCAGACTGAAAGCATGTAGAGGCAAGAGAATTAGGCAATTGGTGGTGGTGGTGGTGGGGTGGGCAGTGGGGTGTACAGATGAACAGAAGGAAAATGTATATGTGTGTGTGCATGTGAGAGAAAGAGGGAGGGGGAGAGGGAGAGAGAGAGAGTGAGAGAGAGAGAGAGAGAGAGATTGTGTGTGTGAACGAGGCAGAATGCACAAGAAGAAAAGACAGAAGTTGTTTTTGACTTGTGGTTTTGCTGCAGTGACTCGGTGTTTTCTTATTCCTCCTGGGACAATGTGACCCCGCTCCTGTAATTTCTGAATCTCTGAATCTGGTAAGTCCTGCTGACTAATCCCTAAACAATCCCGGGCTCAATCCTCTCACCTCACGTGAGCAAAAGAGCTCAGCTGGACATGGATATGATGTAACACATGGTCACTTCTCCCACCAAAGCTGCTGTGACTGCCAACATCATCATTATCATCGCTGAAACAGCATTCATATTCTCTAAATTACGATTAGCAGATCGCTTTGCTTTACATTTAATCATTCATGTCATGCGATCTCTGCTGAGCCTGTTTGTGGATACCACATGTTGTGAGTTCGAAATGAGGCACCCAACACGTCAGAAAAAGATGTACTTAGGAACATTTAGTGCCACAAAATTAAATATAAAATTATAATCATGATGTTTTTACAAAATTATAGACACTGAATGATAAACTTGAGAGTTTTCTTTCAAGTACAGTCAAATGAGTCTTCCCTCCAACAAATTTGCTCTACACTCAGACCCAAAAAGGATGTGATGTTAAGATTCCAGGTTCAGGTTCAGGTTCAGGTTCAGGTTCAGGTTACTTTATTTGTGCCCGTAGGTAAATTTGGTTTGCAGTAAAAAGAGTGTAGAGTGATCAGAAACTGGGAACAGTATATTAGTTTTTTTAAAAGCTGGTGGTACAACACTAGAATATTGACTTCTCCCTTTCCAAACACAGTCCATCACTGTTTACACTGACCGAACGTACAAATTCACAGTGAAGTTCAACAAAGGTGGATTCTGGCCTCTAAGGAGATCACACTGAAACAGAAAAAAAAAAATCTTGAATTGGTCAGTTGCTAACATCCTCATGATGACAGTTAACTTACTTATTATTAGTAGGTGTAATGTTTTCTATGTTAACCATATTAGGCTAGCATGTTAGCACACACTGACATTTACTAATAAGCAGTGAGCACAAATTAGGCCTGAGGCTGGTGGTAATGTTTTCAGGTTTGCAGGTGTTTAGTCATTAACCAATGTATTGGACAAATCAAAATGTGGACATGATGGCTTCATCGTGGTGCTAAAGGAGAGGTCAAGGGCTCGTTAAAGTCATTAGGAATCATTGTGTAAGAAACATGAATGTCTGTACAAAGTTTCAGGGCAATACATCCGAGAGTTGATGAGACTTTTCATTCTGGACTAAAGTTGTGGACTGACTGATTGAGATTACTATCCACGGAGCCGCGCTGCTAGCACAGCTAAAAACCTACTGATGGGACATCTACCCACAGCACAGTCCATGAAAGGGCTTTTATCGTCAACACATGAGAAGATGTCAAAACCCGGACGTATATTTTGACACATTAATGCAAAAAATCTTCCTCTATCTAATCATAAAGCATGTGTTCGTCCTATCCATCTTTTGCTCATGTCACTGGTGTTGAGCAGTAAAGCCATCCATTGGACATGCATGCATGAGATTAAAATCTTTATCATCATCATCATCAACCCTGCAGCTGTCATCATATCGGCCTGTTTTTGATTCATAATGTACAGCAGCCCAGAGTACAGAGGAATTGTCTTTTTTCCCCCTAGATTTGAAACATAGTTTTTCCCTCAGAAATCCTGTTAGTGCTCAAATTTCATTTTCACCAGCTATTGTCTTTGCTGTGGCGGCATCCAATGAGCCGATGCGTATGTGCCATAACAATTATGCAACAATGTTGGAAAAGGTCTTGTCTGGAATGTTATTGTGCCTACATCGGCAATGAATGCCTGGAATCTCTTGCCTTGCATAATGCTATAAACTGCTATGCATTTTGATTAATATACATTGTGTACCAGGGACAACACAATCAGAAAGGATCAGGTTTTCTGTAGGTTGATGAGACTACGCTGCTTCTCGATGTGAATGAGTACCAGCTGTAGGGAGCATGCAGTGATGGGTGCAGACAGTAATTCTGAATGATATACAGATATTCCATGAAGTAGGATAATGCCCTGTGGTCTCCTTACTGCAGACTATTCTTGTGCTTCTTTGAGCAGGTTTATCCTCAGAACTGTGTCATTCAATTGTTTATTAAATGAAGGAAAATCTTCACTAATCCGTGGCCGTCTCCATCTGGGATGTGTGTGTTTGTATGGCTGCAGACACAGACAGATAGAGACAGTTCAAGATGTGGATATTGTGTATGAAGTCAAATCCATCACAAGAGGGAAATATCTGGAAAAGCTGCCAATAAAGGGGATGCAGATATGATACTATGTAGTCTCACTAAACTCTGTCCTAATTATATTTTGCCAAAGGCTATCACTCAGCCAAGCCACGCTTTATAGCAGCTAATTGGATTCTTCTCTTTAGAATAAATAATGTTTTTTGTTTTCCTGCAGGGCATCCTGGCTATGAGGTACTGGCAGCGCCTCAGCTACAACAACGGCAATTAAGACGGCAGGGACGCTGGACTCGCAAACCTGCACAGAATAATCAAAGAAAAGTCAACCCTGTCATGCATGTCTGCGCTGGGGCACAATTAAGAGATCAATTGCACATCTGCTGTAGTGTCTCAACTCGTCCATAGGGGGCAGCA